CTCGCTGTGTGCGCGCAGAGGACCCCCAATCGATGCCCCATAAGCCACAAATAGCAGCTCCCGGGGACTCACAAAAACAAAATAAAAGCGTTGGCTTTTTTATGGCTTGTCTACTGACCTCTCGGGGAATCGATAACTCCCAGGGCTTAAGAAATGGGATTGAATGCTTTTAAGGATCAAATTGTAATTCTTTTCTCTTGTTCAGGCAGCCGGGGAAAAGAATCTTTTTGTCTTCACCTTTTGAACTTGCAAATTTAGAACCTTTCTCCCCGTGTTGTTCCGTTGGGTGTCCCCCTCCCCAAGCAGGAAGCCCCCAAATAAGGGTCAGCGTAGGAGAGTGGCTGGGGCACGGACTCTGGAGGCAGACACCCCAGCTCAACGCCAGCACGGCTTTTTTGTGGCTGTGTGACCGTGGGCAAGTGACCCAACCTCTCTGAACCTCAGCTGCCTCCCCAGGAAAATGGCAACAGTGATAACAGCATCTCCTAGGCAGAGCAGTTATGAGGGTTAGATGAAATAACGCGTGTGCAGGGTTCAAGCGTTTGCTGTAACTATTTGAAGTCAGAGGGAAGTGGGGTGGAGAATGCACCGTTCACACGGTGCGCGGACGGAACATCTAGAGAGGAGGTCTCGCTGCCATTTGGAGCAAGGGAGAATGGCGTGTGTCGGGGGGGAGCGGTTGGGTTTTAACACCCTGAAAAAGTGTCATTTCATCTCGGCATTCCTCACGGTTTGGTGAGCCTGACTTTTTTTCCCCTCCGATCAATTCTCCTTCTGTGCATGACTGAACTTTTTGTGAAACGCACGGGAACAAACGCGGCCGGGTCCTGCGGGGGCTGATCTCCAAGTGCGGCCCCCGCCCCCAGGGACGCGCCTCCACCTCCCTAGTTTGCAAAGGATGCTGCAGGATCCACCATCTCTCATTCTCCAGGACCAAGGTGCCTTCGAGACCCGTTATTTCGGGGCCTGCATCCCTCCAGGATCACCATTTTGAGATGAGTGTGGGGACCATCCACCCACTTCACAGACGAGCAGCCGAGGCTCACCCGGAGACGGGACCTCACCTAGTTTCCTAATTCCCACTTCTGACTCTTTTCATCCATGCTTTTTTCTCCCCCCAGTCACCGAAGAAAGCCAAGAAGAGAGCGGATGGCGCCAATTCCAATGTGTTCTCCATGTTTGAACAGACCCAAATCCAGGAGTTCAAGGAGGTGAGTGCAGCTGTTGAATCTTCCACCCGGAGGGAGATTCCCACCGGTTAGAAAGAGCCTTCCGCTCGTCCCAGATCCCCAGCAGGGACCTCCTGGTTAGACGTCTTTATCCTCCAAACAACCCCCAATTCAGTCTGAAGGTGTGCGTGAACCACTTAAAGAAATTATTTTTAATAACTTGGCTGATCCTCAAAGTAAAGCATATTTCTTGTTGAAAATGTAGGGGAAAATTTCAGAAGCACATGAAGAAGAAAATACAAATGACCTACAATTCTATGACCCACAGACGACCAATTAGCATTTTCCTATACATACTTCAAGTCATTTTTGTTATATGTGTATACAGTTATAAGCTGCATAACAATGTTTGAGTCAATGACGGACCGCATATCCGCGGTGGTCCCGTAAGATTAGTGCCATAGGGCCTAGGTGTGCAGTGGGCTCACCATCTGGGTTTGTGTAAGCACACTCGATGATGTTCGCACAGCAACAGAATCGCCTGACGACGCGTTTCTCAGAACCTATCCCTGTCGTTAAGCGACGCCCGACTGTACATTTGTTAAAGTTACGATCTCCTGTGCACGCTGACTACTATCTGCTATCCTTCTTTGAGCAATTCAGCACCAACATTCTCTGTCATTTATTTAAACCACTTCCTCTGGTTGGGTGTTACACGTGTCTAGTATGTTTCACTATTATGAAGAACACAGCTTTGCTCGCATCTCTGGTTATTTCCTTGGGGTAAATTCCTAAAAGCAGAACTGCTGGGTCAAAGGAACTCGGAAAAAAAAAGGAACTAAAACCGAGTAGGCCAGCCATCCACACTGCCCTCCAGAAATGCTAGACTAACCCCGCCTCCCGCCACCCCCGGAACGAGACAGCGCCTTCTCCCCAGATCTCCATCAACACTGGGTATTAATAGCCTGAAATATTTTTGCCAATCTGAGATGAAAAGCGGTATCTCTTGGATTTTAAATGTTATAGCCCTGGCTTGTCGAATACTAGGCAGGTCTGAAACCCCATTACGTTCTCTGGGATGTGCCTTATGAAGCAAATCTAAACACCAATTAGGCAAAATTAAGCCACTGCCCAGAGGCTTCGAAGGACAGACTGAATTCATCTTCCGGCCATGGCGATGGCCCACACTGTCACCCACACACTCACCTGGCCCTTCAGAGGAAATATGCTAAAGAGGCCAGTGTGTTTTACATCAAAGGGGAGACCACTCGGGGCTTCCAATGGGACATGCACACTTCTGCCTTTTGTCCCCACTTTCATTGTTTTTTTTGGTGAGGAAGATTTCACTCTGAGCTAACATCCGTTGCCAATATTCCTCTTTTTTTTGCTTGAGGAGGATTAGCCCTGAGCTAACATCTGTGCCAGTCTTCCTCTATTTTGTATGTGGGTCGCCGCCACAGCATGGCTTGGCGTGTGGTTTAGGTCCAAGCCTGGGATCTGAACCCACGAACCCTGGCCACCGAAGCGGAGTGTGCCAGACTTAACCACTATGCCATGGGGCCAGCCCCTGTCCCCACTAACTTTCAGATCGCAGGAATGCCATGTCCCACAGGCCCCCAGGAAAGAGGAGTTCCGGGATGAAATGTCACATTGAACTTCAAATAGTCCCCTTCCAGGGGGAAAACAGCACCCCTCCCATCCCCCTGTCCCCACCTCTGGAATGAGATCAGCTGTGGGGGCGTGGGCAGGGGGCACGTACCTTCAGGAACCAGCTGCACCAGAGAACTCGAAGCACGTGGAGCTGCCCTGTCGTTTGTGAAATCCCTGGGCATTGGCAGAGCTCTCAGCGTCTCCCTGGGAGCCGGTGGGGAAAGACCACCGGGCCCATTTTACAGATAACGTGGGCTTGTGAGTCGGGGGGCAGATGAGACCCCAGTTTTTAGCTTGTTTTTTCCAGTAACAGCTTTACAGGGATATAATTCACATGCCATAAATTCACCTTCTTAAAGTAAGTGGTTATTTAGTGTCCTCACAGAATTTAGCAACCATCACCAGTATCTAATGTCAGAACGTTTTCAGCACCCAAAAAGAAATCTCACACCCATTGGCAGTCGCTTCCCTCTCCGCCTTCCCCCCAGCCCTGGCAACACTGGTCTATTTTCTGTCTCTGTGGATGACTTATTCTGGACATTTCATAGAAATGGAATCATATATTCTATATATGAGCTATATATCCCTAATATTCTATAGTGGGGATAGACCACATTTTATTATCCATCATCGGTTGATGGACATGTGGGCTGTTTCCGGTTTTTGGCTGTGAGCAATATCGTGGCTACTGAGTGCATATGGACACTGTGCACAGATTTGTGCGTGGAGACGTTTTCAATTCTCCCGGGTGGATGCCCAGCAGTGGAAATTGCTGGATCAGATGGTGACTCTGTGCCTAACATTTTGAGGACCCGCCAGACTGTTTTAAATCTTTGACTCTGGATCTAATGTCCTTCGATGCTCCTGGGAAATCCCAGAATCCACTTCCCCCACCCGTGGCCCAGTCCCTTGGGATCCTCCCCCACTTCCTCCCCGACTGAGCGGCCGACCACCTCCCTCTCACAGGCCTTCACCATCATGGACCAGAATAGAGACGGTTTCATCGACAAGAATGACCTGAGGGACACCTTCGCTGCTCTCGGTATGTCGCCCCGTCTGGGCCCGCAGGAAGGTCTCCTCACCCCACGCCCACGAGGGGCGGGAGGCGGGACCACCCACAAGGGGAAGAGCTTGTCATTTTCCAAACCAATGGCTCAACCACGAGTCGCCTTTAAGACAAATTTCAGAGGATAGGAAAGAAGTGTTTCATCTTTGAGTGTCTTCACATATCTAATTTTTCTTTTAAAATAACTTGCGTGTGTGATTTTGAATGCTATGCCAGCTCACAATAGAAAACCTGGAAAATTCAGAGAAGTATAAATAAGAAAACAACATACCCATTAGGCAACGCTCCATGGTTAACATTTTAGCCTCTAAGTCTTTTCTAGGCAGATCTTGTGTGTGTGTGTGTGTGTGTGTGTGTGTGTGTGTGTGTGTGCGTGTGTTTAACGACTGGAATCATTCTATTTTGGATTTAGCTTTTTAAATTTGACATCTCAATAGTGTGAACATGAGTGCATAGAGCTTTTTCAAAATATGCATGTCCAACCTGCCACCACGAACACCCCCTCCCCGCCCACCCCCAGAACCACCCCCAGAACTCAGGGCCACCGTGAACAGCTGTGCAGGTTGTGCACTGCACAATTCTACAGGATACTATTCATATATGTAGCCACTGTAGATTTTTACATTTAAAACATAAATTATCTTAAGAAGGGGTGGCTTTTTCTAATTTTCACAAGGGTACTACATGGGCTTGTGGCAGGGGCTAGCGCAGGTATATCAGAATATCAAAGCTATGGACAACAGGTATAATTTGAAAAATTCCACTCAGGTGATTCTGATCTGTCTTTCTCACCCCCCAACTGAGAATGGCTAATTGATAACATGAGCATTTCCCATTGGAGTGAAATATTAAAATATCTGCATAAAATGTTCCAGGTTCTGAAGACACTATCTTAAAAATAACTAACCCCTCCCCACGTCGACTGTCTGGGTTGTTTCCAGCTGTCTGGCTATTATAAATAACACTGTCGAGAACATCTTCTCACGTGAGGCTCTGGCCCCGTCCATGCTGTCTCTGATTATTCCTAGACTAGATTCCCCGAAGTGGAATTACAAGGGCGAATGCCAGCGCCCTGTGAGCTGTGTCTGTCCCGGCTCGGGGCTCTGAGTGTGTGCTTCCTGCCCTAGGGCGTGTGAACGTGAAAAACGAGGAAATCGAAGAAATGCTGAAGGAGGCTCCAGGTCCCATTAACTTTACCGTGTTCCTAACGATGTTTGGGGAGAAGCTGAAGGGTGAGCTCATGCCCGTCTGTGTGTCTGTCTGTGTGTATGTGTCTGTCTGTCTTCATCTTCGGGCGTGAATTAAAGCACTAGGAGAACAGACGGGGATCAGCAGAAGACAGAGGCAGAGTGACACGGGAACAAAAGAATAAAAATAGCAGCTGAGGGGTGGCCCGGTGGCATAGCGGTTAAGTGCACGTGCTCCGCTTTGGTGGCCTGGGGTTTGCAGGTTCGGATCCCAGGCATAGACCTACGCACCGCTTGTCAGGCCATGCTGCGGCGGCGTCCCACATAAAGTGGAGGAAGACAGGCACGGATGTTAGCCCAGGGCCAGTCTTCCTCAGCAAAAAGAGGAGGATTGGCATGGATGTTAGCTCAGGGCTGATCCTCCTCACCAAAAAAGCACCAAAAACAGCAGCTGGCATCACTCCAACACTCACCCCGAGCCAGGCCCCATGCTAAGCACAACCTCATTTAACAGCATCTAGGAGGTAGGTCTATTCTCGCCCCTAGTCCAACAGGTAGGAGTTGAGGCTCAGAGACGGAAAGCCACTTGCCTGCAGCCACACAGCCAGCCAGCGCTGGAGTCAGGATTCGAATCCCAGTCTTTCTAAATCCAGATCCACGTTTGACCTTGGTTTGCTCAGAAACAGCCGGCTCCTCAGCCCGCTCTTTCAAAATACCAAGGCTCCGTGCTCGGACGGAGGCAGGGTTTTTCCTCCGAGCAAAACGGCTTTGCTCTGGCCCCTCCAGCTTTGGGGGGACTTGGGCCCCGCCTCTGGGGGCCACGGGTTCCCAGCCGCTCACGGCACAGTTCCACCCTGTTTTCTGTTTCAGGGGCGGACCCCGAGGAGACCATTCTCAACGCGTTCAAGGTGTTTGACCCCGAGGGCAAGGGGGTGCTCAAGGCTGATTAGTGAGTGGGATCCGTGGGGAGGACGTGGGGGTCCCCTGCTCCCCCCAACACACCTGGGGCCAACACCTTCTTTTCTCTCTCGCAGTGTTCGGGAGATGCTGACCACACAGGCGGAGAGGTTTTCCAAGGAGGAGGTAATAGGGCCCTTCGGACACTGCACCCCAGCTCCCAGCCTCACTCTTCTAGGGACCCCCCTTTTCTAAAACACCCCGACCCCACACTGAGAGAGAACCTGCTATCCTTACTGAGCCCTTATTTCATTCTCTCAGTCACCCTATGAGGTAGGGACCAGCATTATTATAATTTTATAGATGGGGAAACTGAGACCCAGGGAAGTCAAGTCACTTGCCTAAAAGGACAACACTAGTGGTAAATGCCAGGGCCTGGATTCAAACCCGGGTCTGTCTGACTCCAGGTTCTGCCTTCCTCGCAATGCGTGGAGACCTGGTTAGAGCATCAACTTTCTGTTGGAGTAAGGGCAGTGAGCAGGGTCACCACGTACTGTTGTGTAGGTTGTACACTGCACAATTCTCCTGGCCGCTGTTGTAATGTATATGGTAGAGTATATGCTTGTTGCACTAGTTTTCCAGCAGATGGCAGTAAAGTGTCTTGTTATCATTTTTTAAAAATCAGCATATATGACTTTTTCTGGCAGGTGGCAGTAATGTGCCCGGAAGAAGGGGCGCTTTTGCTAATTTGCAAAAGTCCTGTATGAACAAGCAACTGTCCTGCCATTATTATTAATGACCCTTAATGAGTGTATTTAAAATAGCCCTTTAGCCTCTCAGGCCTGATTCCATCAAGTTCCACATTTTACTACGAATTTTATTTAGATTTTACCCCAAAACTCAAGCAGTGAAAAGAGCCAGGCTTCACCTCCCACCAGCTTTGTGACTTCGGACAAACTCCTTAACCTCACTGTGCCTCAGTTTCCTCACCTGTAAAGTGGGGACAAGAATAGCAGGTGGCTGCTGTGAGGGTTAAATGAGTCAATATGTATAAAGTGCTGACATGAGATAAGGGCAATGTAAGTATCAGCTATTATTAGCCAATACGCGTTTTAAAACATTCCTAGCCAATACTGTTTCAAAGTGGAAGTTGCATGTTTGAAAAAACCAGATTCCTAGTTTCCCGCAAAGAATCAAATTCCGTCATAGGACTGACCTCCTTGCCACGTGGCCACAGTCGGCTGGCCCTGAGCATCTGCCACCTCCGCAGATCGCTGAGTCTCCACTTAGCCACAGTCCCCACCAGGCCCAGCTGGCTCCCTTACGTAGCCTGCCCGGCCCCTTGGCGCAGTGGAGTGTGCCATCCCTGATTCACCCACACAGGCTGGTTCATGGGAACATCCCCACAGGACGGCCCTCGGGGTCAAGACCTGTGGAGGAGCAAGGACGGGCCAGGAAGCCGGAGGGCACGGAGGGAGATGGTGACCCGCAATTTAGGCCCCAAAGAGCGTGCTGATCACCCCGCAGGGAGCCCTGGAGCGGGCACGGCCCTTCCCAGAGGCCCCACGTTGGCTCCACACTGATCAGCGGGCTGCGGGCTGCCCCCAGAAGGGCGTGACCCGTGGCTGGTGGCCCCCACAGCAGCGGGGTGACAAGGCCTCCCTGGCGGGGTCTGGGGTCCCGTCTCCACGTCCGCCCCCCGCCCAGCCGCCTCGCCCTCGGCCGCCCTGCACTCAGCCCTCAGCACCTCTTGCTGGTTCGTTGCAGATCGAGCAGATGTTCGCCGCCTTCCCCCCGGACGTGACCGGCAACCTGGACTATAAGAACCTGGTGCACATCATCACCCACGGGGAGGAGAAGGACTAGGGGCTCGCCGCCCGGCCCCGGCTGGCCTCTGCGGGGGACGGTCCCTGCCGCCCTCTCACCTGGCCCAGCGCCGCCGCCACCCCTGCCCCTGGCCTGTTAGCTGTGTGGCCGCCTCATTTATCCACGGCCGTCATCTTCGCAGCCTGGCTGGCTTGTAGACGCCACACAGCCTGCAGATGGAACTCCATCCAGGAGGCGTGTGCGAATAAACAGGAGATCGTGTAGTGCTCACGGTGTTTCTCTGCCCCGAGTGAGGAAAGTCCTTTGCTAGTTCTCACGAATGTGGTGTATGATCTAGTGATGGCCCTGCTGTCATTATTATTGAATCTTAGTGACTCTTTATTCAAAATAGACCTTCGCAGCCACTCAGGACCATGTCCATCAAGGGCCACACGTTACTGGAATGTTAACTAGAGGACCACAGCCCCTTCTCCCAAAGAGCTCAAGCATCTGTAGAGCCCAGCTTCCGTGACCCTCTTTCCTTGAGGAGTCCATGAGAATGCTTCTCCCGTAGATGTGGTTGAATAGGCCCATGATAAATTAAGAGGAAGAGGCCTCACGTGCGTGCTAAGAATACGGCTCATTTGGCAAAAAAGATCACATCCATTAATCATAAGAGGTTAATTTCTAATTTTAGATAAAGTAGACGTCTGTACTTCTCTCCTGGCACAATGGGGGAGGGGTGCTGATTTCTGACCCTGTCTGAGGCCCAGGAACCAGCTCTGGGCATGAGTGGACTCTTGATTTTGAGTGACCCAAGTTACCGTTGAAGCATTCAGGTCTCTTTTGGCTGTAAGAATCCCAATTTAGGAAACAAATGGGTTCACATAACTAAGTCCAAGGGCTTCAGGCATAGCTGCATCCAGGAGCTCACAGCCATCAGAATCTGAGGCCTCTCCACTGGTCTGCTTTTTCTCATGTTGCTCTGCTCTAGTTGATGGCAAAATGGCTCCCGTCTACGCCCTCAGCAATCCCAGTGGAAAGAGGGCATCTGTCTTTCTCCCAGCTCCACACAAATCCCAGAATAGGGCTGATGGGGAATATGAGCCAGCCCTGCAGAGCTCTGACGGGCAGACCTGGGTCACGTGATTGACCCTCATACTAGGGTTGAAACTGGCCCCTTCCTGAACCATGTGGCCTGAGGGTGGAGGGCCGTTTCCCAAAGGAAAATCCCCATGCCCTTCAGGAAGAAGGGGGCGTGGACGTCGGGCCCTCTCAGTTCTCAAGAGACTCCCAAGGACCTAGGACACGGCCAAAGCGTGTGATGTGATGGGGACAGAGAGCTGAACTGGGGGTGGGTGGCAGCTGAGGTCACCTAGAGGGAAGGAGGGGACCAGGCGGGCGGAGGAGCCAGAACTGGAGCACGTCTTCAAGGCTCAAGAACAAGGGAGCCCCAGCAGGGCCCAGGGTCTGTTCCGTCAGGAGGACAAACGACACCCCGTGCCGCAGAGCCAACAGCAAGCTGGGCAGGCGGGGACCCCGGGGCCCAGCCCACGAGGACCCGCCGTGATCCACACCCTGCGACAGCCACGGCCCCCACGCCCCCCACGCCCAGAACCTGCTCCTGGCGCTCCTGCAGAGAGAGGCCCCGGCCCAGGGCGCTCACGGGCAGCACCGTTCAGGGCAAGAGGCCCAGGGCACAGCTCCGCAGTGACACGCTCATCCACGACACACACACACAGAGACACACAGACACACACAGAGACACACACACAGATACAGA